TTTTTAAAGTTTTTTCGACCAGGTCAAAACTTTGCCCCCACTAAATATCCACAATCATGTCTTCAAGCAACCACAACGTTGTTTCAAGCCAGGCTGTGAGTGAAAGCACTCCTGCCATCCCACTGATGATGACAAGCATGGGGACGACCTTTGCCCCAATCACCACTGTAGGATCGATTGGCATGATCCCGATCATGTCAACCCCTACTCCTACGCCAACAACAACAATGTTCCCAGGCTCGATAACAACGCCTGGTGGAGCATTCACACCATATCCGTCAGCTTGGTCTCAGTTTACTGCTGACCCGGCAAATGCGCAGGCTTTACAGGGCTATCATCAGGTGATGGCCATGATCCAACAGGCAGGGGGCTTCATGTCATTTGCCTATCCTAGTATGACTCCACCAATCATGCCGCCTCTGGTGTCGACCCCGTCGACATTTGTCCCTGGGATGGTCCCTATACGCCCGGTGAATTTGACGGGGACCATGAATGAAGCAGCACCTTCAAATGTCCACGAGGTCGATGAGACGGAGCAAGAGGCAGCCCGCAGGAGGAAGGGTAAGGCTATAGCCAAACCCAGCAAGACTCGAGATTCGGCGTTAAAACGCCTAGGAGACAAAGAGGATGGGCCCCGCAAGTCTTCCAAGCTACGTCTTGGTCCTGAGATGGGCCGGACTAGCGGAATAGAAAGACTTGGTGGGAATCGTCCTACCCAATCACGGTGTTCTAGGGAATCTGAGACGATTCACCTGGACGAGNGATGAGAGGAAGGGAGAACAACCCAAGCGGCCTTGGACAGAGAAGTGGTGTACCTACCACCAATCTGACTCCCATAACACGGCGGACTGCCGAAACGTTAGGGCTGTGCTCAAAGAGATGATCTTGAGAGGGGAATTGGATGAAGTACTCGTTACGGGGCTTGAAAAAGACCCATAGGCGAGTACTTGAATCCGCCCACATGAATAGGATCAGGGAAATCAAAGAGGATGTACAAAATGTGGTCAAGATTACTAAGCTTGCTTTAGACGGATAAGTCTTGATGTCTAGGACCTGGACCGTTGCATGGTCTGATAACAAAAAAAATAAAAATAAAAAAAACCCTTGAGATAGGGGCCTTGATGTTGAGGTATTGCCTTGAGATAGGCTGGATCTGGAAGAGGATTCGCATCCATACTTACATGGATCCCTACCGACTTTTTGGTCAGGAAGGGTTAGAAAAGATGCCAAAAAAAAAAATTACCGTCTTGTATGAGCCATCCTTTGTGGATCGGAATGTCTAGGGAAGACTAGAATTTCCGAACACATAATATATGGACGTGCAAGATTGGATGAGGGCTGGTTCTCACCGGCATACCCCCATGTGGGAAGATTAGGTTGGCTAGGTCAACCTAATGATTAAAGAATGGCACATTAAAAGACTTAAAACCTGGAAGAGGGGCCCTGGAAGAAGGGTGTTGCCTGGAAGAGGGCTGAACCTTGGAGAGGGTTCGCGATCATAGGACATGGTCAAAATCTCCAAAGAAAGTTCGG